ATGTCCTGATTCCGTGCCGGCACAGATGATTCCTCGCGAAACGACGAATTCGGTAGACGAGATCAGCCAGCCTTTTTCAATGCTGGAGCTCTCACTCGCGCTCCTTTCGTGTCGCAATTCGGCTCCGGGGGCTGATAGGATAAAGTTCGACTTGTTGAAGAACCTCCCAGACGTCGCTAAGAGGCGCATGTTGAACTTGTTTTGTCAGTTCCTGGAGTTCAATATTGTTCCAGATGATTGGAGGCGAGTGAGAGTTATAGCCATTAAAAAGCCTGGAAAACCCACGTCAGATCATAACTCGTATCGTCCCATCGCGATGTTATCGTGCATTCGAAAATTGTTGGAGAAAATGATCCTTTTTCGCCTCGACAAATGGGTTGAGACGAACCACCTACTCTCAGATACTCAATTTGGTTTCCGTAGGGGTAAGGGAACGAACGACTGTCTCGCGTTGCTTTCCACAGAAATCCAGTTGGCTTTTGCTAAAAAAGAGCAAATGGCTTCTGTGTTCTTGGATATTAAGGGGGCTTTTGATTCAGTATCGGTTGAAGTTCTTTCAGACAAACTCCACGCTTGTGGCCTTTCCCCATTAATTAATAACTTTTTGTACAATTTGCTGTCAGAGAAACATATGAGCTTTTCTCATGGAAACTCTACAGCTTCTCGATTTAGTTACATGGGTCTCCCCCAGGGCTCATGTTTAAGCCCCTTTTGTACAATTTCTATGTCAGAGAAATTGACAATTGTCTAAGTGACAACTGCACGTTGAGACAACTTGCAGATGATGGCGTAGTGTCTATGACAGGGCCCAAAGGGGTCAACCTGCAAGGACCCTTACAGGATACCTTAGACAATTTGTCTACTTGGGCTATCCAGCTAGGTATCGAATTCTCCACGGAGAAAACTGAGTTGGTCGTTTTTTCTAGGAAGCATAGCCCAGCACAACCGAAGCTTCAACTTTTGGGTAAGCCGATCACTCATTCCATGTCTTTCAAATATCTTGGGGTCTGGTTCGATTCCAAATGCACCTGGAGATCCCACATTGAGTATCTGAGACGAAAATGCCAACAAAGGATCAATTTTCTCCGAACAATTACCGGAACGTGGTGGGGAGCTCATCCGCAAGATCTTCTAACGTTGTACCGGACAACGATTTTATCGGTTTTAGAGTACGGTAGTTTTTGCTTCCAGTCGGCGGCTAAAACTCACATCATCAAACTGGAACATATCCAGTATCGTTGTCTTCGTATCGCGTTAGGATGCATGCACTCGACTCATACGATGAGTCTCGAAGTGTTGGCGGGCATGTTGCCACTATCGGATCGGTTTTCGGAATTGTCCCTTAGGCTCCTCACCCGTTGTGAAGTTATGAACCCACTGGTAATCGAAAACTTTGAGAAGCTTCTTGAGCTAAACCCTCAAACTCGTTTTATGTCATTGTACTACGTGTACATAACTCAGGATGTCAGCCCTTCACAGCATAATCCCCATCGTGTATGCTTCTCCGACTTCGGCAATTCAGTTAGTTTTGATTTATCTATGACGCGGGAGATTCGTGGAATCCCAGAACATCATCGCTCCATGATTGTTCCGTCAATTTACGCTGCAAAGTTTGGCCAAGTTGATTCCGCAAGATCGTTCTTCACAGATGGATCACTAATAGAGGCGGCCGCTGGTTTTGGTATTTATAACGAATTTCATAGCGCCTCTCGAATGCTTCAAGCTCCTTGTTCCGTATATGTTGCTGAACTGGCGGCAATATATTATACGCTAGAAACGATCGCCTCACTTGCACCAGATCATTATTTTATTTTTACGGATAGTCTCAGTTCTGTCGAGGCTATTCGCTCTATGAGGCCGGTAAAGCACTCCTCGTATTTTCTCATGAAAATACGAGAGCTTTTAAGTGCTTTATCTTTAAGATCTTTTGTCTTAACCTTTGCATGGGTCCCATCTCATTGCTCGATTCCGGGCAATGAGATGGCTGACTCACTTGCAAAGGTGGGCGCTATGCAAGGCGATATTTACGGTCGACAAATCACCTACAATGAATTTTTCTTCATTTATCGTCAACAGTCGCTCACCAGCTGGCAAAATAAATGGAGTGAAGGAAGTTTGGGACGATGGCTATTCTCGATCATCCCTAAGGTGTCGAAGAGTCCTTGGTTCAAGGGGTTGGATGTGGGTCGAGACTTCATTCGTCTGATGTCTCGCCTCATGTCCAATCACTATTCGTTAAACGCTCACTTGTTTCGTGTTGGGCTGGGAGACAGCAATCTCTGTGAATGTGGACAAGGTTACCAAGACGCCGATCACATCCTTTGGTCTTGTGCTGAGCATCGTGGAGTCAGATCTGAGCTGTGCGATTCCCTTCGGGCTCGAGGTAGACAACCTAATGTTCCAGTTCGGGATATTTTGGCTAGACGTGATCTGGAGTTTATGAAACTCATATATGTTTACTTTAAGAATACTAACCTTAGATTGTAAGTTTGATTAACCTTGTGTTTAGTTTGTGTATTGTGCGTGTAGGTTTTTTTTTTAATGTTTGTCTTCAAGATGAATAGAAATAAGTTCATGTTTTAGGATTAATTAAATATTTGTATAATAAATCATATTTCAAACCTCCTTCTCCCTTTCCCCATCCAAAAAATTGAAAATCTCCACTAACCTCGAGACGACCGCGAGTAATCGGTTCAATTCCTTTAACTCTAGATTTAAGACATTAATCATGTACAATGAAAATGATTACTCGGCTCTGTAAAGTTTATTCGATTGAGCCTGTACAAATAAATTAATATAAAAAAAAGAAAAAAAAGTTCACCCAAAGTTACAATATTTTTCAAAATTTACTCTGAAGAATCGAGCAATTCAGAATTGGGTTGGCCAAATTTTGAAATAAAAGTAGTAGTTGAACACTTATGCTATACCATTCATACCATTCAAATAACCTTTGGAGATCGAAAATTGAACGTAAAATGAGAGATCATTGAACAAAACATATTTGCATAGTTTTTTGGGGGTGTCCTTAAACTTATGATCGGTAGTGTAGCTGCTTTGGTAAAAAATAAGTCATTCAAAAGACTGACTACTTCTTAAATTTAATTTATTCTATAGAAAATGATTGTTCCTTTTTATGCTAAACTTGTTCAACATTGACCCTTCATAAAGCCTCAAGAGTACATAATATTCTTACCGGTTGTTTACAAGGGCGCTCATACCACCCCGATAGGGTACTCATTTACCCAAACGATTTTATTTCAAGGACTTTGTTTACCCCCCTGACGATAATAGGTTAAGGTATTGCTGAAGCCAACTTTTCCCCTATTAAATTCACCGCGGAAAGATAATTTTATTTCATGGAAAGTTGACTGAATTTAGTACTCTACAATGCCACATCTTAGCTCTTTGAAAACGTCGACCGGGTTCATCCCTTAACATTCATCTTCACAGATGCAATTGCGCTTCATTATGATCGCAAGTTTCACACATTGTGGTACCTTCCTGTCTGTATAACCATAATATTTATCAATAATTAACCGATTTCTGATCCTCTATTATCACATGTTTGCATGTTTATTGCAAAATGACCGACTTCCGAATAAATTTCCCATCAAAAGTGGATCAAGTGATCTGTTCAACCCTACAGCTGCAATCATGTCTTCGACAAAGAAGACAACGTGACATCCAGTGGCGCAGCAAGAAGGCGAGATTTCATTGTTAACTCTCTTTCAAAGTAGACTGGAGTGCTGATACTGATGTGTAATGATATAATCTTCTCCCTTTATCATATTGTTCATGTTTATTTGATTCTCAAAATATCACATATCACAAAAATATACATACTTTTCCAAAAAAAAAACTGTTTGAACATGAGGCAAATCGACAAAAAAATTACTCAGGCTAAAATGATACCAATAGACTGGGTGAAATACCTTACGATTTTCACCATATTTTAGCAGTATTTCCTGGAAAATCAAGGAAAATTTTACTCACTGAGTAACTTTACCTTTTGCACTTTTGTGTTGAATTCGGCTCAATTTTGGGTTACTCTCATTGGCTGTGTGATGATAACTTTAACTCAATTCAGTTAATTTACCACGATCGTCACTTCGCATTTTCTCAGGCCCCCATCTGTTGATCAACTTAATGTATGAAGATTAAAATGAATCAAAGTGTTTGATGTTTGATTCTGTCAATATTGTCCTTAAACGGTTTATGATGCTTACATTCGAAAAACCTAGAGCATAATATTTTCCAATGCGGATAGGAAATAACTAAATTCTCTCACCTACCTGTATGCAGGGATGCGAATCAATTAATCAAAACAAAATTGAAGATATGTGCAGCTAACAACGAAATTGAAACCAACATACCCTGCCAAGCCTCTACTCCACAACAGCTGTTGTATTACCGTTGCGCTGACCACCCACAACTACACCAGCAGCTAAAGCACACTTAAAAGCCTTTTTGTGACGTCATGTACCATGATTTTGTACTGGGCTGTATCGGAACATAAATTTTATTTACTTGTATTTTCACTTTCTCCTAAATTGGCCTACACACTTCTTACGACGTGGTGCACAATCGGTCACACATACCTGTAGCAAGCGGCCAGTCTGCCGCTCAGTTTGTGTACGGTAAACCACAAGAGATTGCATAAACTCTCATGGACGCGATCCCGCTACGGTTGAGTGTACACAATGTTCCTACACACTGCAACACGCTCACGCTTGATCCGCGAACAAAACGTTACAACGCCGTGCTCGCACACCCCAAAAGCGCGCCGAGATGACTTACTGAAAATCTTCGGCGGAGTGGTACATGGGGCCTACAATGGTCCAACCACACTCCAACACCGAAAAAACCATATTCACGCGGCTGCAGGGAGAGTGGGCACTATCGTATATACCACGGTGATCGTGTTTTGGCGCCGTCTTCGGTCGCGAAACTGCAGTCTGGCAACATCCAGCCGCTGCAAAATTGATAATACATAAAATTAAGAGAAAAATAGACGAACGCGTGCGTGAGACTGATATTTTCGGTTTGCGGAACAACTTTGTGATATGTTCAGTGCACTCGACGAGCTAAAGCAGGAAGTATGACAAGTGTTATGGTGGTCCTGGCAGCATGTTTGCTGTTCTCGCAACTATCGGATAGTGGTCATGCTATCACTATCAGCAGTGACAAGAAAGTGGCCGCTAGTGAAAAGGAGAGGAATACAGAAAGGTCAGTGCAGATCAGTGAGAGATTAGTGTCAGAGAAATGTCTAAACCATCGATCACTTTCGTGTATTTCCAGTTTAACGTTCTCCGCAAACGGTGAAGATCAACTCATATTCACCGATAAGACGTTCCAAGTTCGTAATGAAGGATCTCAGGGAGTAGCGAGCCCTATCAGAAGAGCCAGTGACGTGAAAGATGCAAGTGAATTTTTTGAATCTGGCTGGCGACCCATGTACAGCTTTAATTTGGAACAAACTCCGGGAAAAATATCAGATCAACTTCCTCAGGAAGCTGCACATCAGCCGACCGTGGTTGCAGAGCCATGGAATAGAACAACAAGATTCTTTCGTTTCTCGGAATCGGATATCATGAACAGTCCTGTCGTTGCCCAAGTTGAAAAAATTAGTGAACCATCATCAAACGTGATTAGATTCAAGGACATTTCCTCGGAAGAAGAACTGTCCTACGAGGAAACCTCTGAGCAGTTCAACGGTGATGAAATCAATCTAGCTTTACGTTCGGAGATTACACCCAGAATGCTGAAATTCGAAGAGAACGATCGCATGATGTTTGAAGATGATTCGCCGAAAGTATTGAAATTTCCCAATGGATCGGCTAGATCTCAACCAGAAGTGTCAGAATCAGCGGCTCCAACAAACTACGCAGTATATTTGATAGAAAAAATGCTGAACAATGCAACTGGATTTTTCGATTCTGAAGATTCTGTTAGCAAACCAATACATGAGGATGTTCCAAACGATACTCAACCACGTATTGTAAAAATAGAAAGTGATGTACCTGCTACTGAAGAGACCTCACCCTCGGTCGTTAGAAATGCTAGTCGCTTTTTCAGATTTGAGGAATCAGATACAGTCCCAGAGAAAACGAGGTTCGAACAAAACCAGCCCAGTACATTTAATTTTTTTGAAAACGATACTCCACGACAAGAATTCAAATTTACTAGAAACGATGAAACTAGAACCCATGAAACTTTTTACAATTCTGGAGAGCCATTTAGATTCCACGATACCGACAGTAGACCGCAAGGTTCATCATCTTCCCATATGCGATTTGAAGAAACCCCATCGAAGCCACTAAGATTCTTCAAGGACGCACCTACTCGGTCACAACTCCCGGAAGATCAGTTCTACACTGTAAAAGCCACAATTCAAATTGAAGGAGCGAATAACCCTTCCATTACTCCGCCAACCGTTCCCATACCCGTGACCACAAGAAGACCAAAAAAGAAGAAGGGCAAAATTTACAACCAACATGGAATCGATATCCGGAAACAGGACGGATTCAATTATCAACAGCCCTCGGAATACGACAACTACCTACAGCAGCAGCAACAGCAGTCACCGCAATATCAAGCACCTCTCAATCAATATCAAGCAAACTATCAAATCCCACCAACTCCGCAAACCGCGCCCGAAACTGCGTACTACCAAAATCCGAGTTCTGGAAGTCCAGGAACACCATACCCACCCTTCGACCCAAATACTTATTACATCCAAAACTACCTAGCAAACTATCCATATCCTCAACAGGTCAACGCCTTTAATCAGCAACCGGTTGCCGATGCGAGTGCTTCGTACCCTTCCGTATACCCCCAACAAGCGAATAACGTTCCAACTAATCTTATCAACGGCGGCCAATCCGATAGCCCCATAAGTCCCCAAAGTATTTTCGGTTTCCTACAGAGCATATTCAACTTTGCCCCTGGCACAGTTGGCAACTACCCTGCTGCACCATCCAGTCACGGTGGCACCGCTGCAGCTCCTGGTTCCGGTTCTGCCTCTCCCATCATGGCCGTCAGTACCCAACTACGGAAGGCCCTGGATAACATCGCCGGCAATGACGAACTCCAGTGTGTGCCAAAACTAATCTGCATGATGTCCCGACGAACCAGCGGACAAGGGTTCAGTACCTACGTTAATCGGGGATTGCTGAGCACGTAAGCTTACCAATGCTACCAGTTAATTGTCATCCTAACTGTATTTTGCAATTCATTCCAGATTACTGAGTGCCGTTCCCGACAGCTCACCGTGGCTCAAATTCTCCCGAGCAGCTCTACTCGGGTACGGAATTGGAGCCAACAGCTGTGACGTGTACTATCCCAAGTGTCCCAAGGACGAATCGGAGATCATTCACTACCTGAACAACCATCGCGGAGGTTTCTTCCGCTTCTTCAACGATGACCACACAAACTCGAACAGCGGTTGAAGGTCGTGCCAAATGAACGCTTAACTAAAACAATTGTAGCATCGATACATTTTAGACCTAGGGGAGAAAGTGTGACTATTTATTTACTAGCTGGTAGTATCAATAAAGAAACCAAAATTTAACGCTACACCGAATAAAACTTTCTGTGTCCCAATTACAGCCAGTCCAAGGCGCAGCAAAATGTGTGTCTCCATTAACTTAAATAAGCGAGCAGTTGTTTACTCTGCGACTGGCGAGCGAACGCATCATCTCACATATTGGCGATTATTTAACCCGACTGGAAAAGCCACTCCACCTACTCACGTCGCCATGTGGTAGTCCTTCGCGGGTTAGTCATACAAGGCTGTTCCTACGCACACGCTCGCGCGCGCAACACCCAAGGGAGTTGTTTTGGTGAAAATGAATAAAAAAAATAAGCAAAATAACTGCTTTCACGCAATCACACCAAAATAGATTCAACCGTGATAGGTAGGTAGGTAGGATGGTATATTCCAAACCGAGCGCCTGCCGCATAAATTATATTTATTGCATTGGTATCGGAGCCATCGTTGACCGTGTACCACCTTCGTTGAGTGCACCGGTGTGGTGACGTCCGTCATCGGGCGGTGTGTTGATTCTCCTCATTATCTGCGACTTTATTATCCTTTTCGATACGGTAGGGTACGGGACGGGGGAATCTATGCTATATGGACAATTACACCGGCAGTGCAAGCTTTAACCTTTGTTAGTAGTTATGATCTTTGTACAGGCGGACAGGTGGTAAGAAACGGATATTATGTGAGCGATTTCCTCTATGAGATCATTGTGAAGAGGGTTGAATGCTTTGTATGACTTTCCGAGCAAAAACAGCGCTATTCTTCATTTCTGGATCCAAAAGAAATAAAGGAGCCTCGGATGTCAGCATTAACCATATACCAAATTAATGGGCAAATTGACCATTGTTGTAGGTTGCTTCTGATGTTATTTTATTTAAGTGATAAAGGACCATACATAAATGACGAAGCATTTTAGGGGGAGGAGGGTCTCAGACAGCCTAGTCGGTAAAGGCACGGTATTACCAAGCTGGACGTTCGATTCTTGGTTCTATCGAGGAAATCTTTCTGGTTAGAAACTTTCTTGACATCCCTGGGCAAATATATTTGCCACACAATATACAAATTCATGCAATGGTTGGCATAGAAAGCTCTCAATTAACAACCGTGCAAGTGCATCTAGAACACTAAGTTGAGAACCGGCAAAACAATCGCAAAATAATCGATTTTTTCTTACGTAGGACTACGTCTTTGTATACTATACTGGGTTGTAAATGAAACATTTGTGTAACGGAATAGTGTTAGTTTTTAATCGCTTATAACTTGGCCATTTATTGATGTACTCCAATTCTTTTCACACCCTTTGATTTAGAATTGATGTAAAATTGGTTTGGTATACAGATTATAGTTATTTATCATTCGTAAACAATTGAAAATTGGTCAAACTTTTAAGCCGCAATCAACCAATCACGTGGTTGCGAGGTTATCGTTTTGCTTCAGATCGTCTGGGGATGTGACGGTTGTCACATTGTTAGGCGCCGTACACGGCCGATGAGGCTAACTAAAAATTGAGGAGGATTTCTCTTAAAATAGTAGAAAGTAATAAAAAAATTCTAAAAAGTCTATGAGTACACTATTACACGGCCAATAAGATTACCTCAAAATTGAGTCGAATTTGACTCAAAATTTGCCAAAAAAGGGGTTACTTAGCTAATGAGTAAATTTTTCCGCGATTTTCTAGAATCTTGAATACTGTAGAAGTTTATTGAATAGCTTAAATTGCATTTAAACGGCGCTTACGTTGAATGTGTTTAATGGTTATCCCTATAGTGGCCAATAGCGCTACGCAATATAATGCAATTGTGATTTGAATTCTGAAACGCACCCCTCGTCAGAAACATAAAAACAATCACTAAAGAAACAACCAACCCTGTCTCCCGTCCTATTTTTGGGTAAATTTTGCAGTAGTTGAATAATCGTTTAATTAATTTATAAAAGTGTCTAACTAAACGTTACTTAACCTGAGAATCAAAGCGTATACAGCATCACTGTTTAAGGGATGAAATACAAGTAACACTTTAAATACTCGACGATTTTCGGAATTTTTTTGTGAGCAAATGAAACAATGCAAACGTTTGGGGTTTTTTGCAATAAATTGCTTAAATCTTTCTCTACATTTGAGATTTTTTCATTGGTGTGTGACCTCTGTGGCTCCTTGGGGTCACATCGGAAGGAGGTTGCCTCCGGTGGGGATTGGTAATTGGCGGGCGCTCTAGAGACCTGAAAAATGGACAAAACTTACTTTAAAGATAAGATTAAGATTTTTGTTCTATGTAAACCTCTAAAACCCAAAAAAAAACAATTTAAAAATTTAGAAAAAAAGAACGCGTTTAAAGTTTTGGGTTGTGTAAAAACATGATTTCTGCAACTTACGGTTAAGCGGCGATACCGGGGCCATAGATCACTCCTTTCTCGTGCTCGTAGCATTTAAAAAAAAATTAAAGTAAAATATAAAAAATCGATAAAGTTATTATTAAAAATTTAAAAATAGTACAAGTATTATTAAGCATGCAGTTGAATAAAATCGTTAAGAAGCCGTTTCTTTAGCTTCTCTTCGTCGACTTTATCTTTGTATCCCCACGGCCATGTAAAGACATTTCGAGGTAAGAAACTTTTATCTAGCATCTAATACGACAAACACAACAAGAAACGGTTATGTGCTCAAGTTATTAACGAAAGTCGACGAAGAGAATCGATCAATGTTACTTAGGACCTAATGCAATGTTCAGCTTTAAATGTTCAGTGATGTCATGGTGGTTAGAATTGGTGTCCCTCCAGGGTAAACAGTTATCCAGCTTTCCATGCTCGGTAATGGCGGCCTGTTTGTATGAAAAAATGTATCCTTCACTGTGCTATCTGGAGGTTCAGATTTTGACCCCTCCCATGCCCTCTGCCAGGAACAGAAGAAATGGAACAACATACGCCCTCCAGTTAGTGTCAAAAAGCACAGTGAAGGATACATTTATTCATACAAACAGGCAGCCATTACCGAGCATGGAAAGCTGTATTGAAAAAAATATATCTTCATTTCCTACAAGGGTGCAAAGGGTCATTCTAAATGAGTAACCAGCTCTAAGTTTACCATGACATCACTGGGTTGCGGTCTTCATCAAAGCTGTTTAGATGCATACGGCCTATTGGAAGGTGAACAGTTGAGCTCAGAATTCAACTTCCAGGTGGTACTAATAAAGTGAAATAGACTAATTGGATGGTGTACATCACACTATACTTTTTAACGTCTTATTGCTAGTACCGTGGACCCCCGTTAATCTGAACGGCATTTCGTGCATATTAACGGCCCTAATAAAAAATACCATAAACGAATGATAACCCAAATAACCATAGCAATTTTATTAGGGGGAACGTTCCTGTAAAATTTAAACTTCAAGTAACCCTATGACCATCCGAAAAGCGAGTGTCTGGAAGCATTATTTGCGGTTTTGTTTTGATTCTGCGTTCCGTTTAGCATCGTTCCATTTCGCTTCACTTCATTGCATGTAGTGATTATTTGATTTATGATTTGATTATTCTATTTTCAATACAGCTAATTTTCCAATATTTAAAAAAGTAGGAGGTTGTTTCCAAGACACGACCGTAGATTTGAGGATTACGTGCTCGAGATCAATATTCGGCGGTTATGTAAAGGAAACCGCTTTTTCCCATCACGGAAACGCCTCGATATTCGCTATCAATCTTATAAATTCGAGACATGTTTGCTTTTCCCTAGCGTCCTGGAGAAAGTGTTAGGGAAAGCGCTTTTTGCAGGCAATCGGTGATAATTTTGATCATCATTGCAACAGTTGGCCATTTATGTAATTTTCCATAGTTACCTATTGAACATTGATAAAATGTTCATTTAAGCAGGATCGTAGACAAAATTCCAATCGATTGGCTCGTTTAAAATTGAAATCCATCCGATATTGATAGAGTTGTAAGTGGTCAAAACCTGACCACTTTTCGTAACGTGGTCGATTTTGGTTTTTTGAAATTGCACTCCCAATATGTTGCCGAAAAACGTAATCTTACGTCAAAAAATCAAAACGCCGCATTTTTTTTAGAGCGTGTAAATTTGTGTTGGTCGAACTTTTGCTCCTCATTACTCTTTAATGATAATTCTAATTGTGTACGAATGCAAAAATGCTAAACTATCTGACAATTTCGATTAGGGGCTGTCCATAAACTACGTAGACAGTTTAGGGGGGGGGGGGGGGTTGGCAATTATCCACGGCCCATACAAATTTTAAAAATTTTGTATGGAAAATTTTCTACGCAGGGGGAGGGGGGGGTCAAGAATCCCAAAAAAACTGTCTACGTAGTTTATGAACAGGCCCTTAACAGCTGTGGAAATGCAAAGCACACTTTAGTTGACGACATGCATTAACTTCCAGTTGGGATGTAACAGCCTTGAAGAAGAAGAAGCCTAGGAAACCAACATCCCATCCTTATACAGGAAACGCTAGACATAAGACATGCGCATTATGCCTCTCCCCACAAGATAAATTATACAACCAGCATCCCATTCGGAAATTCCATCAGCAAACAAGAACATCGCCATAGTATATATAGAAGGATGTCATCCGATTCAGCCATCAGTACGCATCGACATCCTTGAAAGGCTTATTTTCTTGGATCAGTTCGCATACACGTAGTCACTAAATAAACATTACGAAACCAAAAACATGCTTACGCAAGCGATTAAAAGTGCATAAAACCTCGATTTCCAAAATGTGGGCTATTGGATCATTTAACAAGGAAAAGTGAATTCCCTATCGCAATCAAACATTCACCTGCATAAGTGCTGACGAGCGCCCATTTTCACGGATACTGTATTGCCGATCAACGAATCAGCTAATAACGTCGATAACAATTGAATTGATTTTCCCCTTAACCAATCAACCCAAACAGATAAATAGCAATCGAGATGGGTAGAAAGCATGAGCCGATGAAAACATCTTCCTCGCGATGGCAAACGCTGCGAGCCAATCTTCCGCGTCTCGTCGACAAGTACTGCGGCCACGATTTGAAGTGCTGGCAATCGTGTGATGGATTTATGGCGCTTATGTACCGCCCAACGGATGCCGCAGCCCTCGGAGTAGCACGGATGCTGTTCGGGCTGATGATGCTGATTGATATTCCCGAGGAGCGCGGAGGTGGAGATCTAGACTTTCGCTGGGGCGATCCCAGCGGCTGCAAATTTCCACTGATCAACGGCATGGAACCGATGAGTTATCCGCGGATGGGAATCGTCTATTTGATTATGTGGCTGGGAGCGTTGGGGATTATGTTGGGCTATCGATTCCGGCTAACTAGCTTGATGTTTGTTATTAGCTATTGGTACGTGTTTCTGCTGGACAAAAGTGCTTGGAATAATCATAGCTACTTGTATGGATTGCTTGGAACATTATTTCTATTTACGGATGCCCACAAGTTCCTGTAAGTTTGTGGAGAAATTGTGAAAACATCATATTTAGTAATCAAGTGCTTGTTTGCAGCTCATTGGATGCTCTTAGGGACAAAGGCCTGCAGCGAGAAGTGCCGTTTTGGAATTATTTCATACTGAAATATCAGTTCTTCATACTGTACTTTCTAGCGGGATTGAAAAAAATGTGTGCAGAATGGCTCTCCGGATATGCCATGACCAATCTGAGCTACCACTGGGTGTTTCTTCCATTCAGGTATAAAACGTGAAAAACTAAATCAATCACCAATGTCAGTGCAATTGAGTTCTCTTTCAGATTACTCATCGGAGCGAAGCTTACCGACCTGTTGATTATTCACTGGTTCGGTTGCATATTCGACACATCGGTAGTATTTTTCCTGATATACGCTCCCACTCGAAAAATGGCCACGCTGTTCGCTTGTGCTTTCCATCTGATGAATTCACGCCTATTCCACATTGGAATGTTCCCATGGGTATGTTTAACGCAACTTCCCCTGTACTACAGCGTCAGTTGGCCACGGATAGTGTGGGAAAAGCTATCGCTTAATAATAATAAGTGCCACGATAAGGTTGACAAACTAAAAGAGACACCAAATTGTCCGAAACCTCAAAGCACACCAACAATGCGAAATAAAATGGCCATGTTTTCTATGGTTTTCTATTGTGGGCTGCAACTTTTCCTACCATATTCTCACTTCATCACCAAGGGATATAATAACTGGACTAATGGCCTGTATGGATACTCCTGGGACATGATGGTTCATGCTTGGGATACGGTACTCACATCTATCAAGGTTGTGGACAACCATAACAACCATAGTCTCTATCTTCTGCCGTACGCCTTCGTGGATAATGATCGATGGACCAAGCATGCTGATATGGCTTACCAGTTTGCCCATTGCATTGATAGAAACATTCACGAAGAATACCGGACTGATCGCATATCGATGACAAATTTTTCTGTCCATTTCGACATCTGGTGCAGCATGAATGGACGATTCTTGCAACGCATATTCAATCCCCAAGTTGACATACTAACCGCCAGCTGGTCACCATTCAAAGCAGTCGATTGGTTGTTACCACTGCTTCATGAATTCACAGAAATGCGATCCATGATAGATAAAATGACCCACGAAGTACACTCTTGGAGTAATACTTCCGATGTGCTGTTCGTAGCGGATTTTCCTGGATTGACGTTAGATAACTACATAGTTCCCGATATGGACAATGTCACCTTGACCATACTGGAAGGAAGTGTAGAATACAGACACGCTAAAGATAGTAAAATCAAGCATTTACAAAAAGGACAGAGTCTGCATAACATCCCTCCAATGTTCCACCATGTGACCACCACTAGTACGACACCGTCGTCTATGTTGTACACATACGTTAACAAAACCATGAAAGCTGCCCCAACGGAGGAAGAACTGGCCGAGAGAAGGCAATCCAAACCGATGCTACCGTTGTGGAATGAGTTCAATCAAAGATACCGAAACTATGTGAGATTCCTGCAGCACGTGGGTAATTCGTTGCTGTATGAAATCTACGGCGTTCCGATGCCGAGAAGAGTGAGAATCACGCCAGATGAGACTACGTGGACAACCGAATGAATGGGATTATGCACTTTGATGGTGTATGAATTTTTATATGCGAAAGAAAGTCCTTCAATGAAACAGTAATACCACAGACAAACAGACGTAACTCTTCATTGTGTATCTTCGTTCACGCATTTAAAGATTGATTTGAATATCATCAGTTTCGCGAAGTACTCGCCGCAGCGCTGGGATCGGATCACTTTGACGTTTCTATACGTTCTATAGAACTTTCATGCAATATTGTTTGCGAGTTAGGGAGCAAGCTTGTTTTCCGCGAGAAGCCTGAGAGATGTCGTTACTGAGGTCCTATGTTTTGAGATACTATGTTTTCAAGAAACACTTTTCCAAAGAGTTACATCTGTTTGTCTGTGGTAATACACTTGTATGACAAACTATGAACATGAGCATTATTTGCATAATACATTATGAGCACGTCCATGGTCACACTTGTATATTTTTTGGATTTGCTCATAATTTATTATACAAATAATGTTCATGTTCATAGATGGTCATACAAGTGTATTCGCGGCATAAATTAGGCTCTATTTCATTGGCCGCCGGTATACAGAGAAAGGTCACGAACACTTTTAGCTGCATACTACCTCCCATCCCATTGACCTCATTCCTTATAATTGTACTGAAAGCAGGGCGAGATAAATTAATAATATTAGAATACCGGTTTTTAATCTACCACACCTTACTTTGGGGTTGTTTATAAACTACGTAGATATTTTAGCCCCTAGAGTATCTACGTAGTTTATGGTTCATAAGAATTAAAAAAATATTGACGATTGTGCACACAGGGGGCTTAAAATCGCTCAAAAACTGTTTATGTACAATCCCTTTTGTTTCGCTAAATGCTATTTAAAAACTACTCAAATTTAGGTAGAATCCACCCAGATCGGTCAAAACTGAACCTACCCAAAAATGGGTAAACTATGTAGGGAGTGACAAGTTGATAAATGAACAACATTGACAAGAACCCGATCGACGTTGTTGATTTGTCAACTTGTCACTCCCAACATAATTTACCCATTTTTGAGTAGGTTCAGCTTTGACCGATCTGGGTGGATTCTACCCAAATTTGGATAGTTTTGAAATAGCATGTACTGTATGGGAGGTTCTGTGTGAATGCATCAAACTGCAACATTTTATTCTGTAGGACAGAAAAATATAACCTTATTGAAATAAGTTGTAGAGATGTAGAGACATTTATTCATCTAATTTGCGAATAGCTTGCTACTTGGGATTTCTTATCTAATTATTAAGGGAATTTATCATTGCAATTCAAAGCAAATTCTATGTTTTTTCAAATGTTTATTTAGAAGAATTTGATTTTCCGTTTACGCTTAGGAAAATCTGGAGTCGAATCAGATATTGTATTTTGATTAAACCTAAGGATCCGTGTTAAGGGAATTTCGTTTTCGTTAAGAACAATCAGAAGAAGAATCAGATTATTGCCGATGAAAACCTCCCGAACCATGATCGCATGCTTTCATCATTAATGATCCAATGGATTAATGTGGAGTCGAGAGTGTTTGCCGTTCAAGTAGCTGATTTTTGGCATCAGCTTGCTTGAACCACTGAGCTCTACTGGCAACAAACTTATCGATCAACAGCTTGACAATGAAGTTTTATTTTTGCTGAAAAAAAAAATATTTCAACCTAAATAATCAAAAAAAAAATTACCGAAATTCAGTATATTTTTTTTTCATTCGTTAGGTGCGTTTGTGAGACATTTTTTTGCTGAGATTCTCGGCAGAAAATGACAACAGCTAATTTTAGCATTGTCGAGATCATAGCAAACTTATTTTTGCTGAAATTGTTGGTGTACACACCAAATTTAAGTTTTCCCGCGTCACTTTTTAAAGATACCAATCTACATTGATCGATTCTCTTCATTGACTTTCTCTTTCGTTAATAACTTTAGTTTTCAGATTTTCCCAGATATCACACAAAAAAAAACAAAAATGTTATCTATAAAAATGTTACCAATTCAAATTAAAAGTTTCTCGAATTTGGTAGTTTCAACTACAAAAATATTCAAAGTTAATTTATTTTCTATGATTTGAAAGTTTTTATTTGACTATCGACACGTAATTTTAAAATTTCACATTTTAAAACAAATATTGTACAGATGTTAAAATGACCTCCTGAAAAGCTCATTGTCATTGTCCAAAAATATAATAGGGCATATAAGGTAAGATACTAGACCGCAGAAAATCAATTGTGCATCGTACACTTCCGAAATTCCACAACCGGGGAAACCGATTCCGGTACCGAAGGCAGTGAAAAAGATTGAGTTTTTCGCAGAAGGTAAGATTGCTTCTACTATCTACATATTTCGAGGATGATTTTGAACATGAAATTCTTAATTTTTCAGATCGAAAGCATATTGGAACATTGGAGCACACAGCCGAGACGTTTTTGGTGGCTATCAATAGGGATTAGAGAATCCGTTCTTTCCTACTGGTAAAATTCAGACGCCCGATCCATACCCGGCTTTGGTGCTTATCGTCGGCCAGCAACGAAAGCAAGATGCACTTTCGTTCGACCAAGTCCGCTGCACGTTGGAACCCCGCATTTAGGAGGAAACCTTCATTATCCGCCGAACACTACTATCTGTTCCGAGACTGAGTTAGATTTTTTTTCCAAACAACATCCAACAACATGTTAGTGAAACATAAAAATATGTATATTAAGAATTTACTTACATAAAAATAAATATTGATTATTTTCTGCATGCATCATAAAAGCAATTAATTTAAAAATAATTTCCAATTGAGATGAAAAGTTTTACAAATTGCGAAGAAATACCTGTGTTTTGAAGCAACACTTTTCCAACGTCAATCTAAAAAGATTAGGTTTTCAGTTTGACAGTTTGTTCTACAATTCGATTTGAAAGTTGTAGGGCATAAATAGTGAACAGGTGGGGCATAGTGAGCATCCCGTGCACCAGCTTGGACTTCCGGGCGTTCGGAACAAATTTTTTGGTGTTAGCTCACAACATTTTGTTTTGACAGATCGATGTCCAACTATGCCAGTTATACCACTGAGGCAACACAAAAAAGGGGTCAACTTTTAGTCATCTATTTTGCATGAAGTTCCACATATTATGTTATGTGCTTTCAGACATGCTTCCTAAACACCAGGTAATATTCAAAACATCTCTAGATATACACACTAACTTTAGATTACTGGAGTCAGTAAAATTTTACTGGGTTTTTGAATTGCGGATCGCCCAGTAATCATCACATCAAAAATTTGCATTACCGAATTGTCCGTAAAGTCAATCTGTCAAAAGTAACTGTTCATTCAGTAATTGGTTCGAGTTGCGTATACTGGAAAGCCCAGTAATTTTTCTTTTGTTTATTTTACTGCAATTTAACTGACAAGACAGTTATTTTGTTCATTCTTGTACTGTGTTACCCAGTTATATTAAATTATTTTTTTCAGTAGAAAAAAAACTATTTAATTTTAATAATAATAAGATAACCGGGAGGAAAAAATCATTTATTTCAATGTTAATTGCATTTTATTTTTCTCAAATTTTAAGGATACTGATAGGAAACAACAACAACCATGAAATCAATCCAAAATTTTCACCCGTAGTTGTTATATTTCCAACCCCCATAAATACTGACTTCAAGGATGCAAAGAATTGCTGAGAAATTCATATTCAAAGGAATAGTGACGTTCTTCCAGGAGATAATTCCATCGGTTTTGCGTTCAGAGAATTAGGAGTTTCATGGTTTAATATTGGTATTGGGTCATCCATCTAATAGAATCGAAAATAATTGGTCACAAGCCATAGCCAAATCATGCACTATACGTACTTGAATACATTCAACGATTCCGTCTAGATATTATTCATGTTTTCTTGCAAATTTTCACAAAACTGCACCAAAAACACTTGCTCCTGGATTTTACTGAAGCTAAATGGCGGCGGGAATAAAATTGACCGGTTAGAGTATTACAATTCGTGGTCAGTAAAACAAGGCGGCTATTTTTCTGACCAGTCGGTAAAAAAATAAGACTACTTTGTAGACAGTAATTATTCTTACTGACTTTTCGTGAAATTTAAAAAATGTGGGAATTAACGACTTGCTCAGTAAATATATATTCTGTGTACAGTATTTTGCATCAAACGATACCGAAGTTCAGTTTGTGTTTTACAGAACGTCAGTTATTCACCAGATTTAAACTGAATTTTCAGCAAATCTTTCGTTTTACCGTGCAAGCCCAGTACAAAAAAATACCGAACAACTAAATGCTTGATTAGTGTGTACGAAGATATTAGTAGACGTCCTTGGATATTTTTTCAAGACTTCTTGTTTGATCAAGTTCTGAAGATCTTCAACTGTTAGAAATACAAATGAAGTCTCTCATATATTCTTTCACGGCTGCAGTTTGATCAGAAAGTATTCAAAAGTACATTCAAATGTACATTTTCTAGAGGGAAGACTGGTCATTCAGCTTAACACTCCAGAATAGTGTGGATGGTTTAGAACATTGAACATTGATAACATAAATAAAATCACTGAAAAAGCTCTTATCTGTATGTAGTACGAGTAAATAATAAATTGGCACCGAAGGGGTTCAACCATAACTAACTCAATTTAAAATTAGAAAAATAACCCAATAAGCTTTTGTTGAAGGAAATTCAAATAGTATCTAGTTTCAGACAGGGACACAATCATACAAGTTTGGAGTTTATTCCTTTCGATTGGAATTAAATTTAAATTTGGAACTTTAATATTGATTTTATATCTTACTCCGTGATCTTGAATGTTAGTTAGTCCCGAGGTTAGTCCGAGGTATCGAAACAAAAATTATAGATAAATTTTCTTTTTTCATTAGAATCAATCTGGACATTTGAAATTCGGTACGTATCTTAAAAATCATGAGACTAGATGAGACTCACCCTAGTGGCTCAATCAACCAAGACTCCCGGAGATCTAGCTCAGTAGCATGAGACCCCTGAACTGTGTCACAGGGCCGGCATGCTACTGGGTAATTCGGAGG